TGAAATGGCAGAGGTTTAATGACTCATTGAAGTACATAAAAACACACAGTCTAAACAACATGCTTTTTGACTTAAAATGTTTTCTCATTGAGCAATAATTTGCATTTTGATTAACAGCCTTAACTTTAAATGGGACATGTGTAACTTCCATGACCTTGTAACTGTGCCTATTTTACTATAAACAGTTGAATAGTAACTAGATTGCCATTAGAAATATTCTTTAGATCTTGGGAGTTTTTATTACCAATATTAAACTATGACAATGCTAGGCAATTTGCAATCTCAACAGAAGCAAGTTCAAAGACCATTTTTCACTGTACTGTGTGTGTGGTATGCATAGAAGTGGCCAAAACGGAAACCTCTGAAATACGCCACACCATTTGTGAGGTTCTCTTGGTTTTGGTGGGTTCCACAGTGAAAAGTCATGAATCAATTTTTAATATGAACAGTGCTATGCAAATGTTTGTTGCCTCTGCATATTTTAACTTTATAAAAAGGCAAACTGAAAATAATGGAACAGAAATTGTTTTGTATCACATACTGTAATTTCTTGGCAATATCAACCAACATTAATGCATTACTTCTGCTGAATCTTATCATAATGACCTGACACGAGTAGCTTGCCTGGTGAACTTCCGCAGAAATAAGAAGAAATCAATTCTTTATATCCTTCAGAGGCAATATAGAGCTTTAAGCTCTCCTTAGCTCAACCAAAATGTCAACTAGACAAGTTGTTAAGAAATCAAGTAATTTATTTTAGATAGAAGAGAATTAAAATGCAGGTTTGTTATTCATATTTTTCTAGTTATGCTAAAGTGACGTTCTTGGAATGACACTTTCAGGATGTCACTTTTGGAAGTGGAATTTTTTATGGTCATAGAGGGACTCATTAAAAGATTAAAAAATTATTTTGTTTAAAAAATCAAGGGAAAAAACAGATAACAAAATACTCTTCCCCATTAACTTCTGCCTCCTGCTGTTTTATTTTACTTCTTGTTGTATTTACATATGTATTTCATATCTGTTTGATATATTAAAAGGTTTTCTACTTTTAATGATATTTTCATATTTCTTCTACCTTGTGTCCTGCTACCTATTACCTCAGACTCACTTAAATTTATTTGAATCCAAACTCATTATTTTCTACCCCAAATCACCTTCTCTAGAGCCCTCTTTGATGTTTTTAATGCCAGTAAGCAGAAAAGAAGTCTTATTTCCACCAACTGAAGAGCACTGTAAAATATATGCAGTGAAGACAAAATTATATTTTGAAACCCAGCAGTCACTGTTGGGCCCTGAGCCTGAAATCAGACCTCCTTGTTAGAAAGGAGACTATCAAGCGTGAGAGAGGTGTTAGAGATGGACTGGCAATACTGAGATCTGATAAACCCAGAAGCTGTAAGAGAGCAGACAGGGCGCAAACTCAATATGTGAGTCAAAGTTGTTTTAAAGGCTTATTTCTGTGCTGCCCATAGTCAACTTGCTCACTTCTCCATTGTCTATGACCCTTAAAATACTACCTGGGCTTTAAGACCAATTCTTATGTTTCCTTTAGTTCTTCAGGCTGGTAGTTCTCAATTGGGCCAGTTTTGTCCCCCCAGGGGACATTTGCAGTGTCAGGACATTTTGGTTGTCACAACTGGGAGGAGGTGGTGCTACTGGCATCTAGTGGTAGAGGCCAGGGATGCTGCTGCTGAACATCCCACAGTGCATGGGACAGTCCCGGACAATGAATATTACCAACCTACAATGTAGTAATGCCGATATCGAAAAACCCTGCTGTAGGGGAATGTAATTTCTTCCTACATTTCTCTTCTTTGTCATGACCTATTTAGGTGTATATTTAATTTCTTTTATTTAGAGTATAAACTCCTTGAGGGAAGGAAGCAAAGATATTTCTCCTCAGTATTAAATACTCAAAAAAAAAAAAAAGAGAGGAGCATGCATTTATAGAACTTATAGGAAAAAGCTACTTAGTGGTAGTGTAATTAACCTCATCAAATTCATGGAATAATATATGTCTAAGTTTTGTTCAGTTATAGGATCTCAAGCTTGGAAAAGACCTTACATGTAATCTAGCCCTACTGCTCTTTTTTACCAAGGGACTTTTTTTGATTTTTTAAATACTGAATTGAAAGTCAATTGCAATCATCCTTAGGTGCCAGACTGTGAAATTGGTATTTTCTCATTTAGACGCTATCAGAGTATATTTTGGCCCTCTGTGTATAGATATATACTGTATGTATGAATTCATTAAGAATATTAATTGCAGAAAAAATCACTAAATGATTTCTTCAGTTCCTTTCAACCCTGAGAATCAGTTATTTACATTGCTAGCTTTACTAACACATTTACTTACTATGTAAGGCAAAAAGAGACTGCAAGATGTGATTTTTTGCATAAATATTTGGTTTATTAATTTCCCATTAGCCCAAAGGTATTTAGAATTTCTATATCTAATAAATTCCTACCCATTAATTACTTAGTGCCAAAGACACCTTTGACTTTTATATAATGACTAATACATTCTAATTGCAACCACTCTGTTGAACTCTTGTAGAACCTTCCCCATAGTATTATTAGTATTAGAATATATAAATATAGATATTCTTTTCAATTAGATCACAAAGAACTTAAGGGCAAAGTGGTTATATCTTAAAAAAATTCTACCATGTACCTAATAATGAAGAGCAGACAATTTCTAATTGTGCAATGATTGGAATTGGAGTTCTCAGATACTTTAAAATTAAAAGAGAACACTTTTTTCATATATAAAATCTCATAGATATCTTTTAAGTAGCCTCAGTAGAGAAATATCAAGCTTGGTGGACATTTTAATTAATGATATTGAAAGATAAGATTCAAGAACATTATATAAGACAAAAATATATGATGAGAGAATTGTAAATGGGTACATTTTAACTAAAAGGTACTGATATTAAGCAAAAATCATACTGTTATCAGTAAAAATAATAGGGAAAATATTACCATGACTGGCAAATTTGGAAAGAACTTTTATTACCAACAGTTGAATTAAAACATTGTTTATAAATTATGGCTAAAGATTAATTTTACTGTTTTTGAAATATAATTACCTTTTACTCACATATAGAAAAAGTGAATTCTAGACCTGGTTTTACACTAATTGCCTGTGTAACTCTGGACAAATCACTTAATCCTACTGGAACTACTTTTTCATTTTAGAAATTCATGAGAGTTGGACAGTTTGTTTCTAAGATCGCTTCCAACTTTAACCTTAAATTTTTCTGAAGATTTATAGTTAAAACTTGTTTTACATATATTATCTCCTTTTATCGTCTCAATAGTTTTGTAAGGAAAGCCTAGAAAACATCATTGTTTTCCTTCTATTAATGAAAAAATAGGCTCAGGCAGTTAAGTAATTTATCCAAGACGGGTATGTGGCAGTCCAGTACTGTTTCCAAGATAATTATCAAAACTCTTTCTCTGAAAGTCAGTATACAATTAATCTTAAAAATGTATTATTTTTCCCTACTTCAAAACGAAGCTTCAGAAAGTAGGCTTTCAATGATAAATGTAAGCTTTATAATTTTAAAATGGTCTCAACAATTACAACTCATGGTTTGAGCCAAGGATCGCCAATAAGGTTCAACACACACATCAACACCTATTGATTGGGAGTAGCTGCCTGAAGTGCTGTGCTGAGAATTTTGAGGCCAAGTTCAGGCTCAGTTGGAAAGTGTGCCATGTTAGATTAACCATGTTTACCTTGAATGATGGTGAGGGGAGAGGTGGCAGAATTACTTAAGGGGGAAAGAGCTTTTTAAAGAAATAACTTTAGAACTCAGTAATGTTTTACAGAGTCTGATATTGACTTGCGTTATATCAAGTTTTGCAACTCGTATTGTTAAAAAAGTGTAATGAACTCTTGTCATGAATGTTTTCATAAATGATGACCTTTTGAAGTTAAAAGAGTGTCCTTCTTGAAGTCCTTAATATGACCATTTTCATTTGTAATCCTAAACTGTGAAAAAAAGTTATTTCTAGTTAGCATTTTAATAAGCAGTTTTGCAGCTTGATCTGAAAACTTGAGGGCATTAAATATATTTTGTATGTACACTTATATATGTATACAGATACATACATTGACAGGTTTATTATACAGATATTTATTATATTAACATCATAATATAATAAATATATATTATGAGTAGAAAAAGCAATGGTGTCTACATTACTCAATGTAAACATATGTTACAGCTCTAAGAAAGGTTGAAGATATTGTCAATCAGTGGCTGCCATTTTTTGACTGGCTGCTGTTTATTAACTGCCTACTGGGTGCTATTCATCTATTCACCATGATAGGTGCTTTGCATTCTCTTTTTTCCCACCTTAAGATTTACAAAAGCTTTTTTTTCTGAGTTAAGCAAGATTATTTTATTTTAAGCAATGAAAAACTACACTTTAGGGAAATTTAGTAATTGTATAGGATGATATGGCTAAGAATGTTGTAGAGCCAGAATACAGACCAAGTTCTGTCAGGATCCAAAGTCCATGTTCTTACTAAAATCAGGTCATGATGAAATTTGAGAACACAGGTGTTTCCCAGTGATGGTCTATGTTCTATACATATGTGATGACAACTTCTGGGTTTTAGTTTCACTGACTTTAAATGTTCAGCTTCAGGGAGGAAAGGGAGGCATGCCAAACAAGAGGATTATTATTTTCCAGTGTTTGCCAATGTGATGCCAATGAGTTGTCTGTAGAGTATAGTGTTTTGTCTAACAGGCACTCTCTGGATTGAGAATTTACTTTTTAACTAAGACAAAAACTTCCCCAAAGAACTTTTATTGTTGGGGAAATATGTGTATTGTGCTTTTATGCTAAACATGAACCTAAGTTTGGTTCAGAAAAGGAAAGGACCTTGGAATTTGACAATAATATGTTATCAATAGGAACATGTAAAGTGATCATAACTGAAGCCATAAATGTAATTGGGAATGTCATTTTCTGTTTTCCAGATTCCTTGGTGTTACTCAGTTTTCACCTACACATGCCAGAAAAGCATTTCCTTGTTTTGACGAGCCCATCTACAAGGCAACTTTTAAAATCAGCATCAAGCATCAAGCAACCTACTTATCTTTATCCAATATGCCAGTGGAAACTTCCGTGTTTGAGGAAGATGGATGGGTTACGGATCACTTTTCACAGACCCCTCTCATGTCCACGTATTACTTAGCCTGGGCTATTTGCAACTTCACATACAGAGAAACTATCACCAAGAGTGGAGTTGTAGTAAGTATTTTAAACTTAATGATGTTTTTGGATTATGTACACTCTGTAATATGATTTCTGGATTAACAATGGATTAATTATTCCTATCCTCCTCACATTTATATAGCTGAATTCTTTCCTTAACCCTTGGGAGAAAAAGTATCTTCTCAGCTTCAAAAAGTCAGAGAGGAATGTCTCTTCTATACCCAGCTCTCTTATTCCTTTACTCCCAACCCCATTATCCCTGTCCCTCTTCATCTCCTAGGTATCTCTGGAATAGCTGTTGTTTGTTTGGGAAGCATTTATATGATTGGGAAAGCTGCTTCTTTTTATTGTGAAACATTTCAAATATACAGAAAATGTAGAGAATAACATAATACACTCTATATACCTACTAGTCAGCTCTATAGGATCTAAATATTTTACCATCTTTGCTTCAGTCTAATTAATTTTTGAAGAAGTAAAACATATTGGATAGAGCTCTCTATTGAAGCTCTCTGTGCACCCTGCCTGATCTCATGTCTTGCCTTCTTCCTTAGAGAGAATCACTCTACTGAATTGGCGTCTTGCCATTTCCATGTATATTATTATGTAATTATTAAGTACATATCTATCCATTTACAATACACATCATGCTTTAAAATTTCATATAAGTGGTTTTATATTATAGATAGCATTCTGCAACTTATTTTCATTTCATTTTACTTTTTGCTTAAAATTATGTTTTTGTGGTTTATCTGAATAGAATGGTTGAATGAATACATCAAAATTTGTCATCTTCCTATAGATGAACGTTTTTATTTTTCTGATTGTCAATGATTAACAGCAATGCTCAGTGAACATTTTGTACATATAAGTTCTGCCAATGTGCTAGAATTTCTGTACAGTGAAGAGCTTCTTTTAGCCCATAACACCCAAATGTATAAATATATGTTCTTAGGGAAGGGTAGTAATAGGAAGCCTGGAGAATTATTGTTTGCATTAAATTTATAATAAGATTCAACTGGACTCTGTATGACAGCTACTGTTTGTGACACCATAGTGTTCTAGGCACTGTTTCCATCCTACTGCATTTAATTAGTGAGGCCAGGTCATCCATGCTAAGTTAGCAACTTCTTCCTTATTTCAATGGCTTACACAATAAATATGCATTTATTTTAATTTTCATGTCAATCCTAAAGCAAGGTTATGATCCCATTTTTCCGAATGAGTAAATTGAGGCTTAAAGAGATTAAGTACTTTCCCAGGGTTGGTTACAAAGTAAGCAAGTGGTAGAGCCGCTGTTGGTCTGATTTCAAATTTTAGCCTTTTCCACCATGTGCCCTAGGGGCTCTGTTTCACTACTTCACTTGTGTGTCTATAACCGAATTCAGGTAATGATTCTCCCCATCCAGTGGCCATCAGATTCAGTGTTGCTCAGACATAATAAAATAAGTGAGTAGAAATCTATTTTCTTATTCTGTAGGAAGTTCGTAGCTCTATAATAACCTAAATTTTGAAATGTAGGTTTGGCTAAATAAATGTTTCTCACTCTTACTTTCAATTTAAAGAACTGTGGAGCTTATTTTAAAATATAAAATCTGCCTGCATACAAAATTCATGCCATTATTGAAGATTCTATATATAAATTCAACTACATAATCATTAAAATAATGTCCTAAATGCTGGCTACAGAGGGCTGGATGACATTTTACTCTTTGGGACTTATACTCATTTGATAAGTTGAATTCCTCTGTGGTTTGTAATGTCTGAATATTTCAAGGCTGTACACATTGGACCAAACACAGAAAAGGAACACCAAGACATCTCATTTCCTTTTACGTCTTCGGAAGATGATGATTGACTTGCCTTGGGTCAGCTAGCAGCATAGGGTACAATGGAAATTTTTTGTTTCCAAGTATGTTTTCTTAAAAGTGTTCTCAGCCCTTCACAGTTCTGCTTGCTGTTAAGTGACCCATGTTTAAGTGACCCAGACACACTCTAATTATTTAGACGTGACTCTGTATTAGAGTTAAGAATCTAAGTAACTGGTAAACATTTTAAAAGTCCTCCTTAATCATTTTTATGAAGGAAAGATAAAACATGCTACTAGAGAACATTGAAAGGTCAAATGAAAGAAAATTTTGGATTGTATAATCTACACACACTAAGAAGTGTAGAAAGGAAAACAAAATTGCCATTGGGAGCCCTTATTTATCAACTGTGGAAATATGTTTTAAAGCCTGGATCTCTTTTTCTGTCACCCTTTGGAAATCCAATCTATTTTCTTTCCACTGCTTTTCCTCGTTATTACTGGGAGCCCATGGGAATGACATTACTCAACTCTTAGCAGCTAGAAGAAGTAGAAGTTTAGTTCTAAAATCTTGGAAGTGGGAAGGTTATGTGAAGTCCAGGAGGTCATTTTGGATCAGAAGCTGAGGCAGTTTCCTTCAGGATATGAGAGAGCAACTTGAGTGGCATCTTAATACATAGCTTAATTGTAGCAGTGCCTCAAGTGTGCATATTTGAAGCATCATCATTATTTGCTTATCAAGTTATCTATACTCTTCAAGGCACGATCCCGAGTAATTAGAAAGATAAAAAACAGTCTAAGATCCCTCTAGTACAGAGATTGCAAATGCAGTTTTCAGATTGAATCTAAGCCTTCAGATGTATTTTGTTTACCCATCCCTAACATGGATTAACATTTTTATCATTAATTGACAATGTTTAGAAATTGGGAGATTGCACATAAAATTATTTATTTATGGCTTCTCTTGAAAAAATGGGAAGATCACTAGGCCCACATTACTGTGTGGCAATATTTGTTCATTCATTTATTTCTTCAAAAGATATTTATTGACTGAGTGTCAGGTATTGTTCTGGGCTCTGCTGATATAGCAGTGAACACAGGAGACAGGGTTTCTACTCTCAAGAAACTTACATCCTAATGAGGAGACAGTGACAGTAAACAAATAAATGTATCATATGTCAGGTGGTGATATATGCATGCGGAAGGTGAGTGTGCCTGACCCATTTACATGGGGCATTTGCTTCCCAGTGTAACTTAATCAAGAACATTTTTGTTCTTTGGCATCTAGTCCACTTCACTATTGTATATTACCTGCTTTCATTCTGTAGACATTTGCATTTCTAACCTTTGTCTAAGGACATAATTCAAAAGGGTAGCCAGGGAACGTGCATTGGAAAAGCAATGAATTTACCAATTGTGAATTAGTGTTACTAGCATTCAATAATTGTCAAATTAAAGCTATAGAAAATAAGTTAAAGGCAGTTTTGAAGATGGAGAACTTGCTAAGGGTTAGGTCTAGGTATGTGCGTCCTGGAGGAGATAGGGTTGAGCATGGCTCTGAATGATGATTTGGTCTTAGAGAAGATGAATGTGGGCATATAATCCTCAGCAGGGGAAGTATTAATAAGAAAAGACAAAGAGATAGGTATATCTTTGGGAGATAGTGTAGCTTTATGGATATAAACATGGATTGATTTTAGAATGAGATAGGTTTGCTTTCGAATTTTTGCTTTGCTTTTCTATGACCTTGGTTAATTACTTAACCTCTCTTTATCCTGGTTTTCTTGTTTGAAAACTGGAAGTATGAACTCTTCTTTTATAATATTGTTCCAGTTACTATTATGGCATAATGAACTCCAGAATTTGTGGCATAAAACAACCTTTTAATATGCTAAAAGTTTCAGTGGGTCAGGAATTTGGAAGGGCACAGTGGCACACTGTCTCTTCTCATTGATGTCAGGGGCCTCAGGTGGGGAGACTTGATGAGCAGGGGTGACTTGACAGCAGGAGACCAGAATCCCCTGGGCCATCTTCATTGTGTCTGGTTGTTCTGCCAGTCTGCTGTGATGGCAGCTCAGGCTGCTGGTCAGAGCATTTGTATGTGGCCTTCACACATATCCTGGGCTTGCTCAAAGCATGGTGGCCTCAGAGTGGTTGGACTTCTTACATGGTGAAGTAGCTCCAAAGGTGAATGTCTCAAAAGAACTAGATAGAAGCTATATGACCCTTTTTGACTTATCTTCAGAAGCCACACAGCATCACTTTTACTGCTTTTTAATGGGTACACGGAAGTCACTAAGGATGATTCTGATTTAATTGAAGAGAGCATAGACCCAATCTCTTGATGGGGAGTGTCAAAGAATTTGTGGACTTGTTTGAAAATCAATACAGTCTGCTCTCTGGTCACAAATTATTTACATTCATTCTACATATAAAATGCATTCGCCAATAAGTTTGGTTCATTATAGCATCAGACTCAAGTTTGAGGTGCAGGATCTCACCATCTAGTTTAGGTCTGGGTGCAGATGAGACTACTTGGGTTTGGCTTCTTGGGCATGGTTTCTCTCTTCCTGAGGACCTATTAACTAATTAGATAAATGATCTATCTTCTCTCCTCATCCCCAAGAGACAATGGTAAGATGAGAATATGACTATTGCAATAGACCTTTTCATTAAAGAGTAGAGAACAATGAGAAGACACAGCAGTTGCTGGTCTGTAGCAATTTTGAAATCCAACTGGGCACATGTTGCACATGTTGACAATTCCTTAATTATGGCTCATTGCTGTTCTTTCTGGAGTGTGGCCCCACCCTTTGGGCTCTTAAGTTTTGTCTTTTAAGGCATCTTTTCTCTTCCAATTAAAAAGAAGTTTGTATTTACAATTGAAAAGCTTTCTGAGCTTACTTCCTACAAGGAAAAAGTTCAGGGTCCAAAGGCTTTATTTTTTTTTTGTATTGGCTTTGTTGCTTTAAGTCCAAGCATGTATATAATTTTATATAATTTATAATTATATAATAATGTTGGCTTTTTATACATCAAGTTATATCCATTCCATTAGACAAAACTATACCCATAGGTCTCTTTAAGATGAGCCTTGAGGCCTTTGCCCTTAGCATTCATAGATGCTTTATTGTTTAACAGGAAGGGTTTCGAGGCACACGTTTAAGATCCTAAGAAAACCTTTTGTCTTTTTCAAAAGGCCTGTGAGGCATCACTTTAAGAGTGTCTG